TCGGCGGAAGGCAGGCAGCTGGAGTCGACGAGAGCTGTGGAGCTGGGCGGCGGCGCTTTCGCGGCGGCCCGCAGTAGCGAGGTGATCTTGAGGCGCTCGACCCCCGCTGAGAGAGCAAAGTTCACTCTCGGACCGGGTGGAGTGGGAGGCAATGATGGCCACCGGGGCAGAGAGCAAAGTTCACTCTCGGACCGGGTGGAGTGGGAGGCAATGATGGCCACCGGGGCGGTGGAGGTGGTGTCTGCAGGCCAGGCCAGGATCATTAGACAGCAGCAGCTGGAGCGCATTATCTCGAGCTGGACGGTTAGACGGTGGAAGCCGGCGTGGCGGAAAGCACTTTCGCGGAGCCCACGGCCAAATCTCGATAGTGCGTTCAAGGGCACCCGGAACCCGATTCAGGCTATCTGGAGGGCTATGCGCCAACCCCACAGACATCCCCTATCATGATGTTCGGTCAGGTGCTCATGAATCTAGTCATATGCGGGGACATCGCCGATGTCCGTAACGCTTTTTGCCAGTCAGACCGGATGCAACGCACACAGGGGGAGGTCTATGCTGAGCCCTGTGACGGTGTAGAGATGGAGGCTGGCTCGCTCATTCGCCTGCTGGTGAACGTCGCTGGTCTAAATGACGCCCTTATGGCATGGGGCCATACCGTCGTGAAATATCTAGAGGGTCACGGTTTCTCCAGGTGTCTCTTGGAGCCCTGAAGGTGGATCAAGTACGATAGTGGAGGACGTACAGCCAACATGATGCTTGTGGAGGTAGACGACTTCATGATCGGGAGCGCTACCCTGGAGGCACGACGGCGGTTTCGACAGACTCTGGAGGCACGGTTCGAGCTCGGCAAGTCTCGAGAGGTCCCTGCTAGCTCCGTGGAGCTTGCAGGCAGGCGCACCACGATCACTCCTCAGAAGGCCGTGATGGACCAAGAGAACTGCGTTCTCGAGGAGACCCAACCCCTGTCTGGGGCGAGGGGGCGCCTGTCCCACGGAGACAGCCCCCTCGAGCCGTCGGAGCTCCGAGCACTGCGTTCGCTGGTCTACAAGTTCAGCTGGGTGGGCCCAGATTTGGACGCCCGAAATGGGTACGGAAAAAATGGGCACAATACCCAGCAACAAATGTTCTCCCAAAGCAACGGCGGCCGCCGTTGGGCAGGCGGCCTTCTGTCTCAAATGGACACAGGCCGCGGCGGCGCGGCCAGCGAGCCCTGTTCAAAAAATGAACAGGAACTGCTGTTGGGCATTGTACCCATCCTTTCTGTGCCCATTTCGTTCGTGCAAGACCAGAGACCCGCCCCGAGGCGGCGGGAGTGGCGAGCATCCCGGCCAGCAGGCTGCAGTCAGCCACGACCGGCGAAGCGGCCACTGCTGGCAGACGGGCCCGACGTCTCCGAGCCACGGCCTCTCGCGGGGCCCGACGGGTTTTGGCGGCTGGGTCCCGAGCGTGTGGCTTGCCTCTCGTTTTCAGGTGCCGGGGGAGATGGGTCCTCAGATAGACGAGCGCGCTCCACTACTCGCAGAGGAACTACTCGCAAATGGCCTGGATCCGCCGCGGGGGATCTACGATAAATCACGTCAAAGCAGACATGTGTTTTTTGGACGTTTGCGATTAGGCACTTTGCGAGTAGTGGAACGCGCTCGGTGATCAGAGGGTCTCACCGATCATCGGGATCTTCCGAAGACCCTACCCAGGGAGCGTGGATGGTGCTTGCGACCGATCAGTCAGCGCTGCAGAGCTATTCAGAGAAGGCGTCAACACATGGCTGGCGTAGCTCTAAAATGCGACGACCAGTGTCGTCCACACTGGCCAGGGAGACCCTGGCTCTCACCGCGGCCATCGCGGAGGTAGAGTACCTCCAAATCCTGCACCGAGATGCAATATTTCATGATGTAGACGCGCCTGATTGCGTCTGCGCTTCAGGCCCATTCACTACTGCGCTCAGGAGGGACTGCTCTTGAGTGTCGGCCGACAGCGCCAGATTCATGCTGTAGACGTTGGATCCACATATGATACCATGAAAAAGAAGGAGAATGCCAGTGCCAAAGATAGACGCACCGCCATCGACTTAGCAATCATTTGTGAGTCGCTGGCCCGGGCCTAGGCTCATGTACGTTGGATTCCACACGACCGAATGCCAGTGGATGGCATCACCAGAGACGATATCGCGAAGGGCAACGCAGCCGTTGTCGATCTCGTGACCCACGGCCAGCTCGTCCTCGTGGATTAGAGCCCTGAAGAGGAGAGACGCTGGACCACCCCCGAACTCAAGAACCGATCCCAGGCGGCGTCCAGACAAATGTTGGCCTGGAACGCTCAGCTGCTGTCGGGGAATGAGTTCCGGGAGTTTCCGTCCCAGGTTGAGGATGGTGTGGTGGTCAGTGGTCCCTCCTCTCTCTCTCCCCGCTCTCCCTGTCGTTTCTGCCTCTGCCCTCCCTGCCGAAAATCTCACGGTCTTCCAACAGTATTCTATGCGTCTGTATCTCACAGCCTTTTAACCTCTCCGCTCTCCGTAGATTTTCCCGGGGGCACTCTGTGAGCAGAGCGCCGGCTGCGAGGGCCACGGAGTCCTGGCAGCCATGGGGAGAACTAAACCTACTAGAAAGTCCGACCTGTGTAGCAGGTCTCTGGGTTGTCTCCCCTAGGTTTAGCAGACAGTCTCCGAGCCCAAGTTTCATGCTCGGTATTGCGTGTTGAGTCCGAGCCTTGACTGTATGCTGGGTACCCATTGGCGCTCACGAGTAAAACATATGTCCCCTCTCCTGCTGCCACCACAACCATCACCATCATCAGCAGCAGCAGCATCAGCATCAGCATCAGCATCAGCATCAGCCACCACAACCATCATCATCATCATCAGCAGCAGCAGCAGCAGCGGCATCAGCATCAGCATCAGCATCATCATAAACAACAACAACAACAACAACAACAACAACAACAACAACAACAACAACAACAACAACAACAACAACAACAAAAACAACAACAATAACAAAAACAAAAACAACAACAACAACAACAACAACAACAACAACAACAACAACAACAACAACAACAACAACAACAGCAGCAGCAGCAGCAGCAACAACAACAACCACAACAACAACAACAACAACAACAACAACAACAACAACAATAATAAATCTAAATCCGTTCGCCCTTATATGCTCGAGTGGCCAATAACACGTATTTCCCAAACCCTCGATACCCGCCCTCTTCGTCTTCGATCGAACCCCTTTTGGGGGGTATACCTTTCTTCCCTGCAGGCCGGGCCCCGGCAAGCGGCGGGGCGGCCGCGGACAGTCGGCCTAGCCAGCGGCAGCGCTGATCGGCGGGGCGGCCCGGGGCGGCCGCGGACCGTCGACCCGATCCCAAGAGGGACGGACAGGGGACCGACCACGACGACGACGACGACGACGACGACGACGACGACGACGACGTCGAAGACGACGGAGACGACGACGACGACGACGGCGACGACGAGCGAAAGCGAGAGCGAGAGAGAACGACAGCAGGGCCACGAAGGGCACGAAGTAGGCCACGAAGGGCGACAGCGGGGACACGAAGGGAATGCGTATGGGGCCACGAAAAGCACAAACGAGCGGGGGCCACGAAGTGCAGATTATACGGGGCCACAGAAGGCAACTATGGGGCCACTGAGGGTAGCAACTGGGCCACGTAGGACAGTGAGGGGGACACAAATGGCGACAGCGGGGCCACGAAGGGCATGCACATGGGGCCACAACGTGCGCGACTCCTGGGTGCCTGGGTGTCGGGAGCGCGGCGCTTGGGCAAATTGCAAGAAATTCCAACGCAAGGCCATTCTTCAGTAAGTTGCAAGCAAGTCTCCAGCGAGAGCGCGACTCCAGAGTGCCAGGAAAGCGATTCCTGAATAAATTGTAAGGAAGTCCCAAGCGAGAGCGCGATTCCTGAATAAAATGCGAGGAACTCTCGGGCGGGAGCGGGAGTCCTGGCTAAATTGTAAGAGAGTCTAAGGCGGGAGCCGTTGTTGTTGTAACCCGGGGGCCAGGGGACCAGTTTGAGCAGGAAGACTTCCCCTGTCAAAAAACAGGGTGCGAGCGTCGAGGGGCACACTTTGATTGAGAAAAAACAGTATGCACCGGTGGGGAGGATCAACAATACTTATTCTTCAGAAATGAGAATTCAACAACAACAACAACAACAACAACAACAACAACAACTACAACAGCAGCAACAACAACAACAACCACCACAACAACCACCACAACAACAACAACAACAACAACAACAACAACAACAACAACCACAACCACAACCACAACCACAACCACAACCACCACAGCAATGACAACAACAACAACAACATCATCATCATCATCATCATCATCATCATCATCACATTCATCTTCAATCCTCATCATCAGTATCATCATCATCATCATCATCATCAGCATCAGCATCATCATCATCATCATCATCATCATCATCATCATCATCATCATCATCATCATCATCATCATCATCATCATCATCATATCATCATCATCGTCATCGTCATCGTCATCATAATCCTCGTTCTCATCCTCATTCTCATCATCACCATCATCGTCATCATCATCACCACCGTCATCATCAGCAGCATCAGAATCAGCATCATCAGCAGCATCATAATCATCCGCAACATGATCATCATGAGGGCAGCAGCAGCATCGAAGTCACCGTCATATTCAGATTCCAATTCGTCTTCCTCATCACCAGCATCATCATTAACATCATTCACATCATCATCAGCATCATCATGGTCACCATCACCATCACCATCATCATCATCAGCAGCAGCATCATCATCGTGATCATCATCATAATCATCATCAGCATCATCATCGTCATCGTCGTCATCGTCATCGTCATCATCATCAGCAGCAGCAGCAAATGCAGCAGCATCCTCCCCCTCCGGGAGAAAGCGGGACGGGGAACAGGAGTGGAAAGGAAGAGGCGGAGATGGCGAAGCATGGCTCCGACTTGGGCGTGTCGCCCTTCTTGACACCTTTCTTGCCCGATTTGCGGGGGAAGACCAGCAGTTTGGACATGTACAGCTTCAGCCTGTCAACGTTGACCTTACCAGCTCCTCCTCCCTCTCCTCCTCCTCCTCCTCCTCCTCCTCCTCCTCCTCCTCCTCCTCCAGTCCTTTTCCATATAAATAACCTCTCCCTGTCGCACCGTCGCACCCCGGGGCCAGTTTTAGGGCGGGCCCGGCGTTTCGCCTGAGACTTCCTCACCATTTATGAACCTGAAGCTTGAAAATTGGCAACAGCTTCACAGATGTAGGGCGGGTCGTTTTCGAAATGTGGCTCTCGCCTCAGCGCCAAGCACATTCGTTGCAAAAAGAATGCAAAAGCTTGACGGATTGAGGGTGGTTCCTTTTCAAAATGTGGCTCTCGCCACAGCGCCGCGCACATTCGTTGCAAAAAGAATGCAAAAGCTTCACGGATTGAGGGCGGGTGGTTCTCAAAATGACACTCCCGCCTTAGCGCCGCGCACATTCATTTTCAAAATGAGCGAGAGTTTTACGGATTGAGGGAGGGTGGTTTTCAAAATGTGGCTCTCACCTCAGCGCCGAGCACATTCGTTTTCAAAATGTGCAAGAGCTTCATGGATTGAGGGTGGTTCCTTTTCAAAATGTGGATCTCGCCTTAGCGCCGCGCACATTCGTTTTCAAAATGTGCAAGAGCTTCACGGATTGAGGGCGGCTCCATTTAAAAAATGTGGCTCTTGCCTTAGCGCCGCGCACCTTCGTCGTAACAAATGTGAGATCTTCACTGATTGAGGGCGCGTGGTTTTCAAAATGTAACATTTCTCTTAGCGCCGCGCACATTCATGTTCAAACTTGCAAGACGTGCACGGATTGAGGGAGGGTGGTTTTCAAAATGTGGTTCTTGTTTTAGCGCCGCGCACATTGCAAGCGTTTCACAGATAGAGGGCGGTTCCTTTCCAAAATGTGGCTCTCGCCGTGGCGCCATGCACATTCGTTCTAAACCATGGAAGAGTTTCACGGGTTCCCATGAGCGACATACCAGACATTGTGTTTTGGAAGGATTCACGATTGCGAAGGCGCAACAATTATGATGATTCGCAGCGTTGAAATCCCGAGGATGGCGTTCTGGAACGATTCCGGATCGTCAAGACGCAACAGTCAGGTTGATCCGTGGCGTTGGAATCCCGAGAACAATGTGTTGGCATGCTTCAGGGTCTTCAAACGGTTGTCTTCCAACGAGGCAGGTCTGTCTGTGGAAATGAACCGTTGTAGGGGCCTATCAAAAGGGAGCTTGGGGGAGGGTTTATTCCAAAATCGTTGGTGACTCTTGGGTTTACACTGGTCCTCCTCCTCCTCCTCCTGTCCCTCCTCCTCCTCCTCCTCCGCCTCCTCCGCCTCCTCCTCCATCCTCCTCCCCCTCCTCTTCCTCCTCCTCCTCCTCCTCATCATCATCATCATCATCATCATCATCACCATCATCATCATCATTTTCATCACCATCTTCAGCTTCATCTTCATCTTCATCTTCATCTTCATCACCATCAGCAGCCTCATCATCATCATCATCAGCAGCAGCAGCATCATCATCAGCATCAGCATCAACAGCGTCATCAGCAGCATCATCTGCATCAGCATCAGCATCATCATCAGCAGCAGCATCGTCAGCAGCAGCATCATCCTCATCATCAGCATCAGCATCAGCATCAGCCTCAGCAACATCACCATCATCATCACCATCGCCATCATCAGCATCAGTATCATAATCATCATCAGCAGCAGCATCATCAGCAGCAGCATCAGCATCAGCATCAGCATCAGCAGCATCAGTTTCTTAATCATCAGCATCAGCAGCAACAGCAGCATCATCATCACCATTATCGTCCCATCTCTTCCTCTTCCTCCTCCTCATCATCATCATCATCAGCATCGTCATCCTCCTGCTCCTCTCCTCCCGTCCCCCACGTCCACTTGGATCCCACCCCTCCCCTTCCCATCCCCCTCACCCTTCCCCCCCTCTCGCCATCCCCCGGCCCCCCTATCCTCACAACCCCAAGCCTGCCATTCCACCATTCCCCCCATCTCACCATCCACCGTGTTCTGTTCTCCAGCCCCCCATCCACCGTTCCCCACATACCCCTTTGTCCCCTTGACCCTCCCGTCCTCCTGCTGCTCCTTCCCCCTCCTGCTCCCCGATCCACGTTCCCCCCATGGCTCGAATCCGTCACTCGTCCCCAGTCCCTCCTTCCCCCCTTTCCCTTCACCCATCCCCCCTTTCCCTGATCCTCGTGGTCCCCACGTCCGCCCCACGCCCCCCCTCATCATCCTCGACCTCGTCCTGGTTGGCCTTCACATCATCCCCATCCATATCCATTGTACATAACTCCTCCATGTCGCTTGCCCAGACGTGTCAGCAGGGCGCGCGCCCTTCCCCTGAAACTTCCAGGCAAGGTATCATCCTGAAGCTCGTAGCTTGCGACAGCTACACAGATGGAGTGGAGACGTTGTCAGCTTGGAGCTCGCGCCTTGGCGGCGCGCACATGTGTTTCAAAAGCTTGTCACGGCTACAGCAATGGAGAGAGGTCGCTTCAAAATGAGGCTCCCGCCTCAGCGCTGCGCCAATTCGTGTTAAACGCAAAAGTAGACGCTCGCCAGAGGTACACGGATAGACGGGAGCGTTTCGAGCATTGGGTTCTCGCCCCAGTACCGCACTCATTCGTCTGAAAGCGTTGCGCATGGAGTACAGATGCCTTCAAAATGGAGTTATCGCCTCAGAGTCGCACGCACTCGCCTTAAGACTTGCAACAATCACGACGATGGACGGTCGTTTCCAAATTGGACGCTCGCTTGAGGCTTCCGATAACGTGCACAGCGTATGCCTGGGCATCGACAACGGCTGCGTGGATGGAGGACAATTCATGTTCCAAAATGGGGCTTCCGACGTCTCCGAAAATAACAACAAGAAATGCACGCGCCTGCATCAGCTACACGCCGTGGAGCGGCAAACGACAAACCGTGATATCGCTGGGCACCTCGCTAAAATGAATGGTCATGCCTTTTCGCCTTCCTGTTCACAAGCTAGAAGCATGCGAGCCAGCTCATGCTTTCCAAACGGGGCTCTCGCCTGAACGGCAGGCAAACATAGGGTGATGGTATTTCAGGGAGACGATTCTTGCCTTGAAAACGAAGACGTGTAGGATAATATGAGGAGGGCACTTGGGACGAGAGCGTGGATTGCAGAATCGTTGCTGTAGATTGGGTTTAGTCTGGACCTTCTCCTCCTCCCCGTTCACCGCATCCTCCTCTTCCTCGTCCTGCTCCTCCTCGTGATTGTCCGCAGCATCATCGCCCAACTCCTGATCCTAGCATTGTTCTTCATCATTTACATTCTCCATGTTACTACACATGCTCGCCATCCTGTGTTGCTCATACTCCCCCTTTTCGAAATCACTACACGTTCGCTCCGAGAAGGTCCCAAGCGGGACGCCGACGTTGCAACGTGCATGGTGCGCACACGTCGCGCCTGAGAATACCAATGGACTGTATCGCCACGATGCCGCGTGGAATGGGATTGTGAGCCGCGCTCGCTCGCGAAATCGTCGGAAGCGCGGTCGCGCGCGAGCGAACCGTGGCGTTTGCCCCAGACCCAATTTACTTGTGCGAATCACGTTCCCACTCGGGAGCGGCGCATACTATTCACTCGTGAAATGTTCGTCACCGGGGTTGCGCCCGCGAGAGCGACATGTCGCTCTCGCCTCCGCACCGCGCAGGCCGTTCCTGAAAGATGCGTGGATAAGGGGCAGCTCTCGATGGAGCTCAGCGCACATTCGTCCTAAACATATGCGAACTGCTTCAACATAGAGCTCTCGCGATGACGCCGCGCACAGTCGCCTGAGCATCTCGCAAAAGCTACACGCATGACGATGAAATAGATTGCAGCATGTGTCTCTCGCCCTAGCGCCGCACATAATCAAAACAGCCGCATGGACTGAGGGCAATTCCTTCTCAAAATAAGGCTATCGTTCGAGGCGCCCTCATATCATACAATACCCGGTACGTTCCTCCTCTTCTTCCTCCTACTCCTCCTCCTCCTCCTCGTCCTCCTCCTCATTCTCCTCCTGCTCCCTCCTGCTCCATCCTATCCCTCCTCCTCCTCCTCCTCCTCCTCCCTCCCCTCCTCCTCCTCCTCCTCCTCCTCCTCCTCCTCCTCCTCCTCCTCCTCCTCCTCCTCCTCCTCCTCCTCCCCCTCCTCCTCCTCCTCCTCCTCCTCCTCCTCCTCCTCCTCCTCCTCCTCCTCCTCCTCCTCCTCCTCCTCCTCCTCCTCCTCCTCCTCCTCCTCCTCCCCCTCCTCCTCCTCCTCCTCCTCCTCCTCCTCCTCCCCTCCTCCTCCTCCTCCTCCTCCTCCTCCTCCTCCTCCTCCTCCTCCTCCTCCTCCTCCTCCTCCTCCTCCTCCTCCTCCTCCTCCTCCTCCTCCCTCCTCCTCCTCCTCCTCCCTCCTACCCCTTCTCCTCCTCCTCCTCCTCCTCCTCCTCCTCGTCCCTCCTGCCCCTCCCTCCTCTCCCATCCCTCCTCCCTCCTCGCGAATCACGTTCCCACTCGGGAGCGGCGCATGCTATTCACTCGTGAAATGTTCGTCACCGGGGTTGCGCCCGCGAGAGCGACATGTCGCTCTCGCCTCCGCACCGCGCAGGCCGTGCCTGAAAGATGCGTGGATAAGGGGCAGCTCTCGATGGAGCGCAGCGCACATTCGTCCTAAACATATGCGAACTGCTTCAACATAGAGCTCTCGCGATGACGCCGCGCACAGTCGCCTGAGCATCTCGCAGAAGCTACGCAGCATGTGTCTATCGCCCTAGCGCCGCACATAATCAAAACAGCCGCATGGACTGAGGGCAATTCCTTTTCAAAATAAGGCTATCGTTCAAGGCGCCCTCATATCATACAATACCCGGTACGTTTCTCCTCTTCCTCCTCCTACTCCTCCTCCTCCTCGTCCTCCTCCTCATTCTCCTCCTGCTCCCTCCTGCTCCCTCCTATCCCTCCTCCTCCCCCTCCTCCTCCTCCTCCTCCTCCTCCTCCCTCCTCCTCCTCCTCCTCCTCCTCCTCCTCCTCCTCCTCATTCTCCTCCTGCTCCCCTCCTGCTCCCCTCCTCCCTCCTCCTCCTCCTCCTCCTCCTCCTCCTCCTCCTCCTCCTCCTCCTCCTCCTCCTCCTCCTCCTCCTCCTCCCCTCCTCCTCCTCCTCCTCCTCCTCCTCCTCCTCCTCCTCCTCCTCCTCCTCCTCCTCCTCCTCCTCCTCCTCCTCCTCCTCCTCCTCCTCCTCCTCCTCCTCCCTCCTACCCCTCCCTCCTCTCTCATCCCTCCTCCCTCCTCGCCCCTCCCTTCTCCTCCTCCTCCTTCATTCCTCCCTCCCAACCTTCCCCCGTCCCCCCCCCCGATGCGAGCCTGCAGACTCTCGGCGCAGCGGTTGCGGCGGCGGTGGTCCACGGCGATGCCGATGGTCATGGCCTTCTTGACCGGGATCTTCGCCTCGCCCCCCCCCCCCCCCTGGCGCCGAGTGCCACAAGTCCTCCGCGCTGCTGCAGGCCCCTCATGGCACCCCCCCCTTCCTCCTGGAGGGCCCGAGGGCCCCAGGGCCCGAGATCAAGCCCGAAGACGCCCTCAGCCGAAAAAAGCGTTCGCTGAGCAGTTCTGCCCTTTCTTAGACGAGTGAACCGTGCCCTTGATCGCAGGGCACGGGGCGAGAGAAGGAAGGAGAGGCGCTCGTCATTATCCGGATGATCTTCGGGTTGGTATCGTAACTGACGTCATCTGGTCAAGAGCACAAGACTCCCACAGATCCGATGTCTTGATGTTTTCAACACGCTGTCCCCAGAAGCCCCGAACCATTCCCCAGGGCCGGCTTCTATCCCGAGTCGTTCTCTGACGGTCCCGAGGCTCAGTGAGGGACCCCAGACCGAAAATAGCGAAAAGCCTCCCGTGAATGATTTCTTCGTGACCCGACGGGGTCTGGGGCTGTGACGAGCATGAAGGGGCCCTGGGACACACAAATTCGCCGGCCCAACGGGCCAGAGGCGTGCTAAGATCTCCGGTAACTACTTAACAATATTTCTAGTTCGCGCGCGCGCGGGGCGGCCCCTGGGGGGCCCCGGACGAAAAGTACCCCAACCGATCCCCGGCCGGGTCCCGGGCGATCCCCAGGGGGGAGGCTATTTTTCGCCGCCCCTCACGAGGATCGTGGCCTCCGAGGGGGAGGCTGCAATCGACTACCCCCCCTCCCGCCCCAAGGGGCCCCCAAGAGCCTCCCAAGAGGCCCCAAGGAGCCCCAAGACGCCCCCAAGAAGCCCCCAAGAAGCCCCCAAGACGGCCCCAAGAGGCCCCAAATAGCGCTCCAGGGCCGGCGGAATGAGCGAAGCGATTACATAAATACACACAAATAAAAGGATTCCCCATATTTTCCCATACTTTCTGGGTTTCTGTCTTCCCCCCCACTTCCCATATTTTCCAATCTTTTCTGGGGAATCGGCGATGACTTGTGTCTGTGTGTTTTTTCCCCTCCTGAGAGCAGCATGCGACATCCGAGAGGAGCTCGGGCCCCGCCAGGCCCACGCGCCAGCGGTGGCCGCCGGCAGGCTCCCGGCGGCGGCGTGGTCAGACGAGGAGGGCGCGCTCCCCGAGGAGCGAGGGCGTCCCCCGTTGGGGAGCCCAACAGAAGACGCACGCGCCCAACCGCGCACAGTAGCACCGCCCCCCAGTCCGCGAGACCAACCTCCCGATGATTACGCACGTTCGCGCAGTGTGTACTCTCGCAACAAGCGTGGATTCGTGTACGTGCACGTCCTTCTTTCGCTCCTGACGCGTGCGACACCTTCGACCCTCGAAGGCGAGGCCCTTTGTTCCGGCAGGGCTCGACCGAAACACTGTTCTCCGCTGTCGTTTTGCTGCTCCTGTTTTGCGTCGCTCTGCCTTCGCTCCGCCTCTGCCGCAGAGTGAGATCGGAACGAAAACAGTCCCCGAGATCGTCAAAATACCGCTTAGGTCGAGCCCTGTAGAGGCATCCCAGATGGGGTCTGAGTAGATCGGGTCGGAGGTTCTGGCCGCATCGCCGATGCATCGCCGATACATCGCTGGTGCATGGGCGACGTTTGCGATGCATCGACGACGCCAGCGTGGAGAAGATCGGGTTCCGCATCGAGACACATCGCCGATGCACCAGCGGCGCGGCGCGGTCCTCCAGCCCCATCTGCTCGGACCCAGTGCGGGAGGCCTGGACCCTTCTGGAACGCCTGACCCGGGGGCGCCCTCTGCCGCAGGACGAAATCAGAACGCTCCGCCTCCGCCTCTGCCTCTGTCTTCGCTCCGCCCCCTGCCGCAGAACGAGATCAGAACGGAAAGAGCCCCCGAGACCGTCAAAACGCCGTCTGGGTCGAGCCCCGCTCTCCTCTCACGCCTCGCCCAGGGGCGCCCGAGAGAACTTCGCTCGCGGCGCGGAGGCGGGCGCACATGGCAGGGGCCAGGCGACCGCCAGGCCGGGGCGCGGCGCGGGCGGAGAGGGCGGAGGCCGTGGGGCGTGCGGCGCGCGGCCGCGGCGGCGCGGCGAGGCCGCGGGGGCGGGAGCTGCACGCGCCGCGGCGATCCTGGCAAGGCCCCGGCCTGCGCCCGGGGTCGGCCTGCGCGGCTCCTCTTCCAGCTCGGGGCTGTCGCTTGAGAGACAGTCTCAGGTTGTATGACAGGACGTTTCGGCCTGGAACAAAGATCACGGATTGAAGATCAAGAGGGTGACTCTTGTTCGGAGCGGGGTTCGCGCTGGGAACTTCTTCGGGTATCGCGGTCATACCGCGTTGCCGTCCTTCTATCAAGAAGCATGGACGGCAGCTCCTTTACAAAACGCGGCTCTCGCCTGAATCAGGACTTCCTGTGAAAGATTTGGAACGAGCGGGCGTATTGCAGCATCGTTGCTGAAAAATTGATTTACTCTGGCCCCTCCTCCTCCTCCTCCTCCTCCTCCTCCTCCTCCTCCTCCTCATCTCATCATCATCATCATCATCATCATCTCATCATCATCATCATCATCATCATCATCATCATCATCATCATCATCATCATCAGCATCATCATCATCATCATCATCGTCGTCGTCGTCATCATCATCATCATCATCATCATCATCATCAGCATCATCATCATCATCATCAGCATCTTCATCATCATCATTATCATCAACATCAACATCAACATCAGCATCAGCATCAGCAGCAGCATCATCATCATCATCATCAGCATCATCATCATCATCATCATCAACATCAACATCAACATCAGCATCAGCATCAGCATCATCATAAGAATAATAATACTTTTCCTCCTCCTCCGCCTCCTCCTCCTCCTTCTCATGCTTATGCTCACCCTCTGCCACTATCCCTCCGCCCTCCTCCATCCTCCCTGCTCCCTGTCCCCTCCCTCCCTCATCTTCCTCATTTGTATCATGATTAGTAGTATCATTATTCCTCCTCCTCCGCCTCCTCCTCCTCCTCCTCCCCAAGTGGCGCCAGCAGCGCGGCGAGACGGACGGGGGCCTCGCGCAGCTCGTCGAGAGTGAAGCCCTTGCCCAGGCGAAGCTTCATGTTGTACCGCTGCGTGGGCGGGTGCACAACCGGCCTGCGGAGGATCGTCGCTGAGACTCCCCCCCTTCTCCGCACTCCCCCGACTCCCCCTCGTCCGCCTCCACCTACCCCTACCCCTACCCCTCCTCCTGCTCCTCGTCCCCCACTCTTTTCCTTCGAAAAAATGCTCACCTGTCGCACCACGAGGCCAGTATTTAGGGCGGGCCTGGGCGTTTCGCTTGAGACATCCTCACTACTGATGACCCTGAAGCTTGAAAAAATGGCAACAGCTTCACAGATGGAGGTTGGGTCGCTTTCAAAATGTGGCTCTCGCCTGAGCGCCGCGGACATTCTGCTTAGAAAATTGCAAGAGCTTCAAGGATTCAGGGCGAGTGGTCTTCAAAATGTCGCTCTGGCCTGAGCGCCGCGCATAGTTTTCTGAAAAATTGAAAGAGCTTCAAGGATTGAGGGCGGGTGGTTTCCAAAATGTGGTTCTCGCCTCAGCGCCGCGCACATCCTTCTCAAAAATGCGCAAGAGCTGCACGGATTGAGGGCTGGTGGTTTTCAAAATGTGGCTCTCGCCTCTGCGCCGCGCACATTCGTTTTTCAATATTTGCAAGAGTTCCACGGATTCCCGTGATCAAAGTACCAGACACGATGTTTTGGAAGGGTTCAGGATTATGAGGGTGCAACAGTTATGTTGGTTCGCCGTGTTAAGATCCCAGGAATGGCGTTCTGGCACGGTTTAGGAGCGTCAAGACGCAACAGTCAGGTTGATCCGTGGCGTTGGAATCCCGAGAACAATGTTTTGGCATGCTTCAGGAACTTCAAACGGTTGTCTCTCATCGAGGCAATTCCGTCAGCGGTAATGCATCGCTGTAGGAGCCTATTAAGAGGAAGCTTGGAAGGGATGATTTTTCCAACATCGTGGATGACTTTTGGGTTTACACTTACACTGGTCCTCCTCCACCTCCTCCTCCTCCTCCTCCTCCTCCTCGCTCCTCATCCGCTTCCTCCTCCTCGCTCCTCCTTCTCGCCCCTCGCTCCTCCTCGCTCCTCCTCGCTCATCCTCGCTCATCCTCGCTCATCCTCGCTCCTGCTCGTTCCTCATCGCTCCTCCGCGCTCATCCTCGCTCCTCCTCGCTCCTCCTCCTCCTCCGCCTCCTCCTCCTCCTCGCACCTCCTCGCACCTCCTCGCACCTCCTCGCACCTCCTCGCTCCTCGCTCATCCTCGCTCATCCTCCTCCTCCTCCTCCTCCTCTCCTCCTCCTCCTCCTCGTCCTCCTCCTTCTCGCCTCTCCTCTCCTCCTCCTCCTCCTCCTCCTCCTCCTCCTCCTCCTCTTCATCCTCCTCCTCCTCCTCCTCCTCCTCCTGCTCCTGCTCCTCGTCCTCCTCTTCCTCCTCCTCCTCCTCCTCCTCCTCATCCTCCTGCTCCTCCTCTTCATCATCATCATCCTGCTCCTCTTCCTCGTCCTCTTCGTCCTCCTCAACCTCCTCAAGTCCTTTTCATGATAAATAACTTCTCCCTGTCGCACCCCGAGGCCGGTTGTTCGGGCGTACCGGGGGTTTCGCCTGAGGGCTCCTCACCATGTATGACTCTAAAGCTGAAGAATTGGCAACAGCTTCACAGATGGAGGGCGGGTGGTTTTCAAAATGTGGCTCTCGCCTTAGCGCCGCGCACACTCGTTCTAACAAGTTGTAAGAGCTTCACGGATTGAGGGCGGATGGCTTTCAAAATGTGGCCCTCGCCTTAGCGCGGCGCACATTCCGTTTGGAAATTTACGAAAGTTGCAGGGATTGAAAGGACTCCGTTTTCAACATGTGGCTCTCGCCTTAGCGCAGCGCACATTCTTTGTGAAAGTATGCAGGAGCTGCACGGATTGAGAAGAACCCGTTTTCAAAAGGTGGCTCTCGCCGTAGCGCCGCGCACATTACATTTAAACCCATGCAAGAGTTCCAAGGATTGGGGAAAGCCGTTTTCAAAATGTGACTCTCGCGCACACTCGTTTCAACATTTGCACGAGCTTCACGGATTGAGGGCGGCTCCTTTTCAAAGTGTGGCTCTCGCATTAACGCTGCGCACATTCTTGATAAAATGTGCAAGGGTTTCATGTATTCCCATCATCAACGTACCAAGCATGGAGTTTTGGAAGGATTCCAGGTTATGCGGGCGCGACAGTTACGTTGATTCGTTGTGTTGAACTCCTCGAAATGGCGTTCTGGCACGGTTTAGGAGCGTCAAGACGCAACAGACAGGTTGATCCGTGGCGGTGGAATCCGGAGAACAATGTTTTGACATGCTTCAGGAACTTCAAACGGTTGTCCTCCATCGAGGCAATTCCGTCAGTGGTAATGCATCGCTGTAGGGGCCTATTAAGAGGAAGCTTGGAAGGGAGGGTTTTTTCCAACATCGTGGATGACTTCGGGGTTTACACTGGTCCTCCTCCACCTCCTCCTCCTCCTCGCTCCTCCTCCTCCTCGCTCCTCCTCCTCCTCCTCGCTCCTCCTCGCTCATCGCTCCTCCTCGCTCATCCTCGCTCATCCTCGCTCATCATCGATCCTCCTCGCTCCTGCTCGTTCCTCATCGCTCCTCCTCGGTTCTCCTCGCTCCTCCTCGCTCCTCCTCCTCCTCCTCCGCTTCCTCCTCCTCCTCCTCCTCCTCGCACCTCCTCGCACCTCCTCGCACCTCCTCGCACCTCGCTCATCCTCGCTCCTCCTCCTCCTCCTCCTCGTCCTCGTCCTCCTCCTCCTCCTCCTCCTCTTCCTCCTCCTCCTCCTGGTCCTCCTCCTTCTCGCCCTCTTCCTCCTCTCCTCTTCATCATCCTCCTCTTCCTCCTCCTCCTCCTCCTCCTCATCCTCATCCTCCTCCTCCTCCTCATCTTGCTCCTCTTCCTCGTCCTCCTCGTCCTCCTCACCCTCCTCAAGTCCTTTTCATGGTAAATAACTTCTCCCTGTCGCACCCCGAGGCCGGTTTTTCGGGCGTATCGGGGGTTTCGCCTGAGGGTTCCTCACCATTTATGACTCTAAAGCTTAAGAATTGGCAACAGCTTCACAGATGGAGGGCGGGTGGTTTGCAAAATGTAGCTCTCGCCTCAGCGCCGCGCACACTCGTTCTAACAAGTTGTAAGAGCTTCACGGATTGAGGGCGGATGGCTTTCAGAATGTGGCCCTCGCCTTAGCGCGGCGCACATTCCGTTTGGAAATTTACGAAAGTTGCACGGATTGAAAGGACTCAGTTTTCAACATGTGGTTCTCGCCTTAGCCCGGAGCACATTCTTTGTGAAAGCATGCAGGAGCTGCACGGATTGAGAAGAACCCGTTTTAAAAATGTGGCTCTCGCCGTAGCGCCGCGGACATTAGCCCACGGATTAGGGAAACCCGTTTTCAAAATGTGACTCTCGTCTTAGCGCCGCGCATACTCGTTTCAAAATTTGCAAGAGCTTCACGGATTGAGGACGGCTCCTTTTCAAAGTGTGGCTCTCGCATTAGCGCTGCGCACATTCTTGATAAAATGTGCAAGGGTTTCATGTATTCCCATCATCAACGTACAGCATGGAGTTTTGGAAGGATTCCAGATCATGCGGGCGCGACAGTTACGTTGATTCGTTGTGTTGAACTCCTCGAAATGGCGTTCTGTTCTGGCACGGTTTAGGAGCGTCAAGACGCAACAGTCAGGTTGATCCGTGGCGTTGGAATCCCGAGAACAATGTTTTGGCATGCTTCAGGGTCGTCAAACAGTTGTCTTCCAACGAGGCAGTTCCCTCAGTGGTAATTCACCGTTGTAGGGGCCAGTGGAGGAGCTTGGAGAGAGGGTTTCTCCCAACATCGTTGATGACTCTTGGGTTTACACTGGTCGTCGTCCTCCTCCTCCCCCACCTCCTCCTCCTCATCATCATCCTCACCATCAGCGTCATCATCATCATCATCATCATCATCATCATCATCCTCAACACCACCACCACCACCATCATCACCATCATCCTCCTCATCCTCCTCCTCCTCATCATCATCATCATCATCCGCATCCTCATCATCAGCCCCATCTTCTTCCTCATTCGCATTCGTCCCATCATCATCAGCATCATCATCAACATCAGCATCAACATCATCAGCATCAACATCAGCAGCAATTGATCCGTTCCCCCCCCCTTATTCCTATGCCCTCCCCCCCACTCCCCCACCCCCCACCCCCCTAATTCCTATGTTTGTGTCTATGCCTATGCCTATGCCTATGCCTATGCCTATGCCTATGCCTATGCCTATGCCTATGCCTATGCCTATGCCTATGCCTATGCCTATGCCTATGCCTATGCCTCTATGCCTATGCCTGTGCCTTCCCCCATCACTCCTATGCCTACGCCTATGCCTATGCCTATGCCTGCTTGCTTGCTTGCTTGCGCACGCGTTTGCTTGCACGCTCGCTTGCTTGCTGAGTTGCGGATTACAAGCATGCTTGATTCCTCTCATTCCTTGATTTGGGTCGTATAATAGATTTGGTGCCAGCGCTGGCTGATATGATCAGCATCAGCAACAGCATCAGCAAGTTCATCATCAGCATCATCATCAGCATCCGCGTTGCCATCATCATCATCATTATCATTATCAGCATCATCACCATCATCATCATCATCATCATCATCAGCAGCATCCGCATCAGCATCATCACCAGCATCAGCATCAACATCAATAGAACCAGCATCACCATCATCATCAGCATCATGATCATCAGCATCATCCTATTCGTCCTCGTCCTCGTCGTCCTCCTTCTCCTCTTCCTCCTCCCCCCTCCTCCCCTTCCTTCTCGCCCTCAGCTTCACAAGCACTGCACTCATGATCCTTATCCTCCCCGTCCTCCTCCTCCTCCTCCTCCTCCTCCTCATCGTCATCATCAGATCCTTCGTTCTCATCCTCCTCATCATCATCATCGTCATCGTCGTCGTCGCCGCCATCATCATCATCATTATCAGCATCATCAGCAGCAGCATGATCATCAACGGTACCGGCATCGGCATCGGCATCGC